TCACACCTTGGCCTCTGCAATGGAGGTTTCTACCTTGCTTGGTGCTACCAGGCCCCCCCCTCCCCCCGCCATGCTTTTGCCTGCTTCCCTGTTCCTGCATCCCAGGGCAACGCTCCTCAGGTGGTCTCTGCGCTCCAGCAGAGGCATGAGATGCAGGGGGCCAGGTTCCTCCTGATCCCCAGCACATCCACCTGTCCCAAAAGCACTAGACCACAGGAAAGCTGCTGTGTTCCAGCGCTTAGAGGATTGTGGGAGGAGGAAGAGTGGCCGTTATTCAGGGATTTGGATAGAAGAAGCCGTTGCCACGAGGTGTGTGGGCTGAAGGAAAGAAATGCATACTCCAGAGGGGCAGGGAAGAGAAAGAGCTTCCAGCACCCTTTGACTTCAACTTCATTGTGGAGTGAAGTCCCCGTGACCTGGTCCTGACTTCTCTCAGTGGTCCAGGTTGAGTGGGGAGCAATCTGCCAATGAACCAGGAGGAAGAGAAGAATTCTCTCCTCTGTTCTCAGCACTAGGGACTCAATGTCCCTACCCTATGGATACAGCAGAATCACAATCAAGTGGTCAGGAAAGAGTCAGTTGGTGTCACCCCTGTCTGTGGCACATATCCTTCATAACATACAGAATAGGGTGAAATAGGAAGCTTATATCAGCAGTGACCTGACTGACGTTATGAATTGCTCCATCCTACAGCACATAGCTTCTCTCAGGTACTTAAGTTTCGTATTATAAAAATACTATAGGCAAAGTACGTGCCCCCTTCCCCACATCAGGATGCAAGTCCATCAGATCTCTACCTTACTGACGACAAAAAGGTCCTCTCGTTTCACAACACCTTCCTTGATTTTCTGCCGGATCCCTTCCCCAACTTCACTCTCATTCTGGTACACATAGGCACAGTCGAAGTGGCGGTATCCTGCATCGATAGCGGCCATCACTGCAGCTGTTACATTCCCTGGTGTAGACTAAAAAATAATAAATAAATCTAAGAATTTCAAGTCAATACATGCTAAATATCTATTTCCTAGAAAAATAAAAATAGGAAAACCACTCCATCCAGAGCATTCCCCTCACCTTTTTTCTTTTTTAAAAATAAGAACTGAATTCCATGCAGTGTTCTCAAGGCCATATTAGTTTCATAAATGCAGGCTCCTGGGCTTAAAGCCTGCCTCCAGGATTCCTCTGTAGTCCCACTGCCACATGGGGCTCAGTCTGAAGGCCAGATAGAGCAGAAGCCCAAAACATCGGAACAGTTTTCCAGACAGAGCAGGACCAGGAAGACATGAGTTTTGTGCCAGAGAGCTCTGTAATACTGATGCTTTTCACTGAAGCACTTACCTTCCAGGTTCCCAGCCCCAAGATGGGCATCTTTGCCCCAGTGCTCAGCTGCACAGAGGTTGCCATCGTCCCACACGTCGCCCAGGAGCACTGCTGCAGCTGCCTCCCGCCGAGTCCTTTAATAGCGCCTGGTGGCCGCCAGAAGCGGGGGCGAGTGGTGGAGTGGCCGGTGCTCCAGGCCCTTCCCTCGCTGGCAAACAAAGCTGCGGCCTCTCCTCCTGAGGCTCCACTCGCACAGCTTCACGTGAAAGCCCAAAGCAATTAAAGCCTGTGGAGGTAATCACCTCCACAGGGTGCGCAGCAGGTGCCCTGTCAGAGGGTGAGGGGGGAGCGCTGCTGCACCCCGTTCCTGCCTGTGTTTGCGCAGGGTTCACGCGCTGCAACTCCCCGTCCCTGTGCCACTGGCGGTTGGGGCGTAGGTATCTCGCTGTGGATAAGTGCTGGAGTTGTGCAACACCCTTTCCAAGGTCATCCGGCGGTTATTGCGTCGGGAGCACGTTTCAGTCGGGAGCGCTTTGGCCCGTGACTTTGCAGGAGCGGAGCCGCGGGTGCTGTGAAATGAGTCGCTAAACCAGAGTCCTGAGGGAGGCGGTGAGGCCGTGGCAGTGCTGCACCGAGGTCTCTGGCTGTTCGCTCGCAGAGCTGCCCCGTAGCTGCGGGCTCCCAGGTGGCGGTGAGCCTGGGGCCGAGGCGTGGGCTGAGGAACGGCTCAAGACATTGGCTGTAGCATGGTGGCACGTGTCCCGTCACAGTGATGATAGCTGGGGGAGAAATCTTAGCGTGAGTTTACAGAGGAAGTAGTTCCTTTTCACCTAGACAGATTAAAGTAGCGTTATTTGCACTTTACATATTGTGAAATGAGGCACAGGGGGAATGTGACTTACTGAAGTTCACAAAGGGCATGTGTGACAAAGTTGAGAAGTAACATTAGGTCCCCGGGACTTTCAGGATTTTAATGGGGCCATCTTTATTCTGGTAAATATGAGAGTTGCCTACTTTTTCTGTTCACTTTTACCTCTTCCCATTTTAGTAGCTCACTTGGAGGGAACAAAACCGTACTGTTGTGGCTTTGTAAATGAGAGTTTCATCATGCAGAGAAAGGCATGGGAGTGTAGAAGAAAGAAGATGTCCTTTAGCTACATGATCATGATGGATGTCATGTATAATTAGTGTCATAAACTAATACATTCTTTTGCAGAGAAATAGCACAGGATCCGGACAGGAGGATGGGAGGCTGTATTTTAAAGTTTGCACACACGGGGGCAGAACGAAGCTTGTGTGGGACGTCTGTGCTTTTGAATTTCCTCAATAATCTGTTAGTGGATTTAATTGCATATTGTAGTCTGTAGATTTCATAACAATGAGAAGGTAAAAATTTCTCTTCCTTTGTCTCTTTTCCTAAAAAGGATAAGAAAAAAAAGAAGGTGACTTAGGCTTAGTAAATAAATAGGTATTAAATTGTTCTGCCAGGGACTCAAAGATACAATCTGAGATTTGAAGAGAAAATTAGCAATTACAGTCTGAATTGTCGAATTGTCCTTGAATTAAATGCACAGAAAAAGAATCCCTTTTCTCTGCTGACTTTTTAAATGAAATGTATGAGGCTGTCCTTCCTGCCTGCACTCAGCCCCAGATCTGAAAGATGTTCCAAAACTGGTGCTTTTAACAGCTCTCTGTGGCAGGGGGAAAATCAAGCCCATCTTCTACCTCCTGTTAACCAGGCACTTACACTGTGTCATATATCCCAGGGGAAACAGAAAGACTGTCTAAAATTCAGAATAGCTATATTTCTTATGGCCGGTAGCCCTCTAATGTGCTCAGCACCTCCAGCTTGTTTTGACTGCAGCAGTCAATAGGGATTGTGGGCTGTCTGCGGTTCATAGAAAGCAGTAAGCACTGTGCAGGACTGGGTTGTCAAGTATACATTTGCAGCCAGAGGTGACTTTCTTTGGGGGATTTGCTGTTGGTTCGCTGAGGCTGCAGCAAGCCTTTTGTTAAAATGTCTGCCAGCAGTGTCAGCTTCTTCTTTGTTTAGCCGGTCTAACGCCAAACTCTGTCTAACGTATTTGGTGTATTGGCCCTGATGTCCTCAGAGTGGCTGGATGTTGTGATTTCAGCACTGTGTGTGTTTTCCAGTGCTCTGTCACCGCAGACCCCCTCTGCCCACCCTGTGGCTTGTGATGCAACAGTGCTCGTGGCGCTGGCACAGAAGGAAAGATGAAATCCCACAGCAACTGCATCACAGCCTTGGCTTGAGCATGCTGGCACTTAGGGGAAAGAAACAAGGACAACAAGAAAAAACAAGAAAAGTAAGAACTAACCTTTTCCTGAGCACTTTCCTGCCGTGTAGTATAAAACCACTGGGCTGAAGCTGATTGACCAGGTCCTGGAATATTGTTCTAAGCTAAGAAAGTGAGGCTGGTTAAAATGCTTTTTGGCATTGTTTATACTTTTGCTCAGTCACTGTGCGTGACCCTCTGGGGAGAGATGAGCTTCCAAGAAGCGGTAGTCACAGTCTGACATTGCCACAGCATTGGGCAAGCAAGATGCTCAAAGGGATGTATTTTTGGCTCCTCTATTGGGCATGTCTGGCAAGGTTTCAGTAGCATGGGCTGCTGGGTGCCCTGAGTGGCAGGAGGCCACAAACCATCTGTGCTGGTCACCGCTGCTTCCAGCCAGCTCTGAAATGGCTGGAGACAGCCTCTGCGTGCTGAAGCTTCAACTGGTCCGAGGAGCAGGTGGCACCGGTGCCTGGATGGGTTTTAGAGAGGGCGGCAGCTGCAAAGGGCAGAGGGCAGGGGAAGGGTGTGTGAGGACACACAAAAGGAAAGACGTGAGGAGACCAAAAATGAAATGGAGGAGACACAAAGGAAACATGAGAGGAGAACCAATGCAGAAGAAGATACAGGAGGAGAGGAACAGAAGGGGACACTTTTGGGGACACGGCTGGAGATGCACTCTGGGGAGGGGTGCTCTTTGCAGAAGAGGCACGCCTCAGATGGACCACGGCCACAGGCCACCCACACTAGAGCAGGGACAGCCCAAGGGACCGCAGCCGTGGACGACCCGCACTGGAGCAGGGACACCTCAAGGGACCATGGCTGCAAGGGAACCCATACCAGAGCACAGCAAACATAAAAAGCAAGGAGCAGTGCAAGGAGAGCGTGAGAAGCACAGAGAGGCAGAAAAAAAACCATTTGGCCCTGATGCCACCCTCCTGCACGGCCTGTCAGCCCACCGAAGGGATTGGGAGGGACGGAGGGTGACACATGGCAAAAATGAGGGGAACTGAGCCTGGGAAGGGAGGAGGAGAGGTGCCTGGGCTGAAGCTGAGCCTGGGAAAGGGCAGGAAGGGTGTTTCCCTATGTGATTAATTGTTTATTTCATTTTTGTTTCTCAATACCCAAATCAGTAATTAAAAGTTTATGTTAATTGGCAACAAATTAAATGAAGTGAAATTCCCCTGGTCAAGACTGTTTTGCCCATGACAGCTCCCAGGGAAGCTGCAGCCAGTCTGGCTTTGAGGCTGTAGTAGCTACTACTACTATACATCAAGGAATTGCTGGAGAGTCTCTGGCACGTGAACCTGAAACTATCTTGAGGAGGAAACTTTTAGCTTAGCAGAACCAGAGGAAGTTAGGATATTTAGAGCTACATCAGATGGGGTGATTTGGTCATAAAAAGAAGAGTAACTTGCCAACAAGTGGGCACTCGAAGGCATGCAAGACAGGAAAAGATAGTTAAGAGAACTGTGCCAGGCAGCAGGGAGCAGATCCCGGCAGGCAGTGGAGGAGGTGCTGACAGCAGATAAAGGCAAAGCAAGGCATGTCCGTGGTAGTCCCAAAGTATGATATGGTTACATTTTCTTCTGAGGCTTGTCTACACAAAAATCTCACACTGTTTAGAAAAGATTTCATTTTGTCAATGCAAATGCCTTTTTTGGACAAATCGCAGTTGAAGTATGTTGTATTTTGATTTAGCTTACATCTGTTCCTTACCCACTTCAGTTAAACAGTAGAAAGCACTCTGCAGCAAAATAACATGTATCCTCCCACAGAGCTAGCATTTAACAGCTATTTAACAGCATCAGTTTTTGAACTGGTTTAATTAACCTGCAACTTCCTTGCACTGGCCAGGACTGGTTGTTGCCAAAGCAAAAGCATGCCAGTATCTTTTTGTGTTTTTTCTCAAATCTGTAAAAAGAAAGCTTCTGATAATAGACTGGAGAGGGGGACTAATGTGGGACTTAGCAAATAGCTTTGCTCAGTTTTCTCCAGATGAAAATCCAGCGCTGTGGAAAGAGCAGGTACCAAAGCACCAGCAAAGACCATACCTTTTCAGTTGTTTCTGTGGAAGAGTGGGCTTTGGCATGAGGGGATAAGCAACTTAAGTAGGAAGGCCACCAGGGCCAGCCTCCAAACCCAGCTGGAGAAGTTGCTCATTCCAGACTTACATTCCTGTTCAGGGTCTATTCGTAGGCATGGTTATCAAAAGAACAGCGTTTTTCTCTCGTGTATGCAGACTGTAGGTTCTTCCAAGCTCATCACTTTTGAAAACAATCTGCTCTTTTTCATAATAAGCGGAGGCTCTTGTCCTGGCCAAAAATATTTTCATGCTCTGGTTCAAGTTTCAGCTATCAGCTGAGTCTAGTTCTGGCAAAAAAAGGGGGTGCTTAGAATGCCTTAGGAGCGAAGGAAGGTGTATGTTTTCCATTTGTGAAACACAAAAGTGTTGAAAATATTTTCCTCATGTTTAAAATACAAAACAAAATGAAGCACACACTAAAATGAACGAGATCATTTTGATAAGGAACATCATGAAAAATACCACTGTGGAAGCTGTGCAGAATTAGAGCTGTGTGGAAATTGCTTTATAACCTGAACTCATACCCAGCCGAGCAGCCGAATTGTTTCCGAGAGCGAAATCACTCCGGGTTTTGTGAATGTGAGGGCAGAACTTTGTGTGGTCTTTCTCCTGTCACAGAGCAGGACCCATGGGCCACAGGGGTATTTAGTGTGAATGTGGAAGGTCCAGTGCTTCTCAGAAATGTTTGGCTTACTGTCCTGCATTAATCTGTGGATCCGCACAGTTATTTTGTTGTGTGCTTCAACGTTGCTGTAGGTAGGTCAGGCAGGCTCCCCCACTCTCAGCATCTGTCTTTTCCAGCAGTAATTCAGGCACATGCAGGGAGGAGGCTGGGAGCTGCATAAATTGTTCTGGCAGCACAGCAGCATCTTGCTTCCAGTTACTATCTCATCTGGGAACTTTCACTTGTCTTGGGGACTCTTGCTTGTCCTGCAACCCAAACATGCCTGTAGCCCAAGGGGCTGCGGAGAGATGGTGGCTCGGTGCGCATTGCTGCAGAAGCCAGGACTGTTAATTTGGCCACAGTGTGTTCCCAACTGCCCCTGGTAAACTAGATGCGACCCAGCAGACCCAGGAAAGTGGCTTCTGCACGTCTGAAGTTTATGAGCACCTAATGCTTAGAAAGACAAGAAATCTTGGTCAGATAGCATAGGCTGCATTTTATAGTGTCCCCTCAAAGTATTATAACAAAAAAGAGACATACTTCCTTTTCAAGATGTGGTTTATCAGATACACGCTACTTCTGCAAATGCCTTCTTAAGAAAGACAGGACCA